TGGGTTTTTTTGGTTGCTCTTTCTTTTCCAAAAAGTGCCAGTGACTCTTGAAATAAAACCATGTGAGAAATACTGCTGTACACAGATGAAGATTGAGCTTCAGTTCTTATTCATGCTTGTCTTCTGATGAAATTATTGAGAGTTCGTAGCCATTTTTCTCACACCTTACCCCATCAGTAGTAATGGAAATGCTGCCCAGTTAACTTTTTACTAACCTTTATTCAGTTTATAACATAATGCTGCTTATACTTCTGCTCCTTTTGTGTCCTGCTCTGATGAAGCATTGAAGAACATCTGTAGCTTTAAGCACGAGTAGGTAAATGATTTCAGAAAACACACATTTGTATGTGTATTCAGAACCTTGATTACAAAAAACTTTTTTTTTTTTTCCTTTTCTTTCTAGCCCTACTTCTTAAGACAAATCAGATGCAACTTTGGTTAAGGTTTTTTTCCACTAGTAATTGCCACATGCGTGTCATACTGATGACCTGTAAGAATGAAGAAAAATTGCATGGGAAATTTGTGGGTAAAGGAAACGAAGGAAAGTTCACATGTATTTCATGCCTCATTACAATAATCCTTACTTGTCTTCTACCATGTGTCCCTCTGGATCTGTGCCCACCTTCTTCTTACTATTTGCATAATTTCTTCCTTAATGATCTACCATCATAGTTTCAAATCCATTATGTTACTTCCTTTTGCTGTCTGATTTGGCAGCCAATTACATGTATTGATTCTACATATTCTTTTGGAGAATAAACACCTTTTAGTATCTGCTCTACAGCAGTGCTGTACTGGATGAAACCTATAGAAAACCTCTTAACATCTTTATCTATACAAGGCAAATAACAATTAAATGGATCTCCAGTTACATCCTTGCTGTTAAAGTGTATGTTTATGCACATGCTCGCACACACAAACCTGCCTTTAAACTCTCTTAATTAAGACGTGTTTCACAATCTTTACTGTAAAAACAAATGTGTTTACAGGTATCTGACTGTTCAGGCTCCTATGTTGTATCAGTGTCTCAGGACAGGCTGAGATTTTTTTTCTTCCCTTTCCACTAAAATCATTGAAATATATTCAGTCAGTCTTTCACATCAGAGGTGTAAATGGATTTCTTGAAAGTTTTTCTGCTGATAGCAAACGGCAGTCACTTTACAACTTTGACTCCATTGTGGGCAGCAGTCAGAAAGCTTAACACTCCACCCCAACTTTGAAGATGCTAAAACTGTGTAATGACCTTGCATTCTCAAGGGCAGATGCTCAGCTTCTGCTGGAGGTGCTAATCTACAATCTGTTTATCTCCATACACTGTATTTGACAGTGCTTGCCTGGAAAGCAAGGCAGGGAAAAGCGTAGCCAAATTTAGTTACTTTTTCCTCTCTGATGGTGTTAGTGTCCAATGGACTCAGAAATGATAGTCTTTATTTTAATTTTTAGCTTCCTTTGTGCTTTTCAGCCTGTCATAGTCTTAGAAAGCAGCCACACTGCCAGTGTCAGAATATGCTCGTCTTTGTGAGCATAGAGCTAGCGCGTGAGCTGGACCGTGTAGAGTAACTGTTTTCTTCCGCCTTTTCTTTATTCTGAGTGAATCAGATTTTGGTTTTACCTTCAAAACCTAAATCATCGTCTGTATTTTCTATTGGTAGACTTTAGACTCAATGTGCTCTATATATTATTCTTTAGTGGGTATGAATTGAGATGCATCACATAATGCTTATGAGCATATTGAGGAGCACATTTCTTATGGAGAGGTAATGTGTTGAAGCAAGGCAGCGTGTGCAGGGAAAGGTAATACCTTTTGTTAGACAGATATGCTTTAGTCATGTAAACCCTTCTTCAAATCTGGAACAGAAACCTGAAGAGAAGGGCTTTTGCACATAAAAGCACGTCAGTGTTTTCGGGTAACATATATATGGGCTTTATGTGCCCAAAGTTTGTTCTTTACCAACTCCATCAGTCGGTCTAGTAACAGAGGTTCCCTCGCCTGACAAATCTTGCCTTGCTTGCACCCATAAGCCATCACAGTCACCACAGCACTACTGACTGAACCCCCCCCCCCCTTGATTTTAATGTAATCCTGTGGTTTTTCAAATGGGTGCTCCTTATCAAAACAAAACATTAACATCAAATTACTCTGATTCAGCAACAGCATCTATTTTTTAATATGAACTTGTCTGTTCTGTCAGGTAATTGTTCAGCTTTCCAGGGAATTGTGTATGTGTTGCAAATGGGAAAATTCAACCTCACAAATCCTTTCTGTGGTGAGGCAACAGGAAACTTGCTGCTGATTATTAAGATCACCAGGTTTAATAGCAAAATTTTGTAAAGAATTGCTAGAATTGACCTTTTGAATGCTAGATTTTTAACAAGCTCAGTCAGGAATCTCTTTATGATGTATACCAGGATTCTCTTGCTCTCCGCTTACAGAATTATGAAGAAGTGTTGCTGTCACAGGGGTAATGTTTCCTTTTGTGACATTATATGCTTTGAATTAGCAGTGGCTATTGCCCATTGTGTTAATATCACCAAGCTTCTAAAGCAAATATATACCAAGTCACAGGTCCCATCCTAAAAGAGGAAGGACACCATCTTCATTTATCAACAAGACAAAGGGAAAGGTTGTTTTAGTTTGGTTTTTTACCTTTGCATTTTTTTGTAATGTATAAAAGTGCTATGAAATGTACTGAGGCATGAAGCGCGTAAGAAATGACTAATGGTGCTGAATTAATGAGTTCTTCAGATTTAGAGAAGAGCTGGCTGTACTCACCAGCTGGCAGTGTGCTCTCTTCTCCCTACACTCACTGCTCATTTGGAGTACAGGGTGCTTTTGGCGTATCACCTCCTGCTCCATCCATGCTCCTCTTCGCTCATGTGAAGGTCTGAAGGTGGAAACTTGCTGCAGTGGTGTTCTGCCATCCCAAAATTACAGGATGCTTAGGGAATACTCAGGCACTTGGTAGTATTTGACCTGTGCAGTGTAGTTGTCAATGGGGAAGGGGGAAGAAGGGGAAAGTCTGGCTCACGTATTCTTAGTAGTAGTTCATAAAAGCTGGAGTTTGGTCATTCTGATGAAGTGACTGTGTTGCATCTACATATACAGATCTTATTGTCAGTTCTCCATTCTAAGCATCGTAGATGCTACTGTACGCAAGTGTCAGTTCAGCTCTTAGTGCCTCCTTCCTTCCTCAACTTTTGTTTCTTCCTCTACAGCCGATATACTTGAACACCTATATTTCTTCATAACTGTTATCTGCATTTTCGTCTAGGCCTCCCTGTAAACAGTGAGTGACTCCCTGAAGCAATTCTTATTGCTTCTACTTCTTCTCTTTCTAGTCTTTTATGATCTATCATCTCAGCTGTGACATTTGCAAAAAGATAAATGATTATGGATAGCTAGGCTGTGGGGCAGTCAGATATGGCATATATTATTTATTTCAAAATATGTTTTTAAGTTCTGCAGAGCCTTCAAGTTGCACAGCTTAACTGTTGCCTCCTCGATCCTTTTTGTCTGCTATCGTTTGTGGCATTTACTTGTTGCATTTTGTTTTAAGAGCACAATAGGAACTCTCTGCCTAATGGGCTGTCTGGATCTGAGACTTTTTGTGGGCCGAGAAAGCAAATACAAAACTAGTCATATAAGGTTTTTCTTTATATTAGCTTCCAAAAGATTGAAGTAAAGCCGTGTTACTCAAGGTTAAATGAAAAGCAGGGGACAACTGCTTTTTTGTTCGATTGTTTTTTACTTGGAGCTAAAAACAAACAGAAAATAAGCATCCTTTTAGACGGATGTGAGCAAGTTTTGGACTTTTGTCCTTTAGACAATAAAGTTTGTGAATAGCTGTAAGACTAGTTATTCTTGAGACATAGCTGTATGAAGAATAATCTTGGCTTAGAGAAGTTCTGAGCAAGCTTTGTGAATTAGCATGCATTAAATATGGAATCATTTTATTGAGCAATAATAAAATATTGAAGTCAGATGGAAGGATGATGGGGAATTGGTATTTGCAGCTATGAAACTGATGTATGTCATGTTAACTCCCAACCCAAACAACTCATTTTAAGATTTGCTCTCATGAAACTTAAAATCCTCTAATTTGTCCAATCATGAGCTTTAAACCTGTTCCTTGTCAGTGAAGACAACAAATCTTTTTGCTTGTGTCTGCCTGGGGGATGTGGAAAGCTGAGATGGTCCTGTGTGATTAAATTAGATGAAAGACTTGCCTTCTACCAGTGAGACGCGAAGTCTAATCAAGTGAAATGAGTTTTGAGATCTCAGCTCATTTCCTTGGGAAATATCAGTTTACATTACACAGTCACAACACCTAATTCATCACAGTTGATGTGGCTTTTGCTCGGAAGAGGACCTGGGACTGAGTAGCATGGGACTTGATCACAAGTCTCCCTGCTAAGGAGGAGCAGCTTAGTGGAGTTAAGATACAGCACAGTGAGGGGAGAGCTTTAATATGTTTTTAAAAATAATTGTTCTATTCTGTATATCAGATCTTTTAGAATAGAGGGGCTTAGGTGCAAAATGGGGAAAGCTAGTGGTAAAAAAAAAGTTACTCAGTACAGAGTATAGTTTATAAAATGATCGATATACAGATGTTAAAGAATGTACACAGTGAAGAGCAAAGTTGAACTTCTTGTCACTTAATTTCTATGATATTGCATGATGTTTGTGTATTTCCATGCACTAAAGTACAAGGAAGTAAAGAGTATTCTGCTTCCCTGACTAACAGATATCTTTTTTTATTTCTTCCAGGGCATTGTTATAACTCCACTTCTGCTTCTGCTTTTTGTAAGTATCTTGATCTTAAGATGTCTTTTTACTGGGTAATCTTGCACCTATTAGACAGTATGTTTAAGATGGAAATTTGGGTGATTTAACAACACTTAAATAACGAGGAAGATTTTTGTGGTCAGTATTTGCAATAAGCTGCCTCCCAGAAAGGCCATCAAAGTGTGGTGCAATGAATGCAAACACTATCTGCACTTCATTCTAAGAGGACCAAAACCCGTCGTTTTTGCAGAATCACAAAACCATACACTATTAGTCAGGCTGGGTAAAATAAAAACACTTGCCAAGTAAGATGATCACTCAGGGGATCTCTTGGAGAGCTTTCACATGCAGGAGCTGGACAAGATTTGTAATGATCCAAAATGGATGACAGGCCAATCGGGAAAGCACTGTTCAGATAAAGCGAGCCTCACTCTTGGGCAACTAAGCCCACGGGTATTTTTGTGGTAGAGGTTAGTGAGATAGCAGCAGCAACACAAATTACTGGAGCCCCTGTGTACCACTAAATGTGGTGCTGCTTCGTTCCTGTTAGTTAAAGATTTCATTTTCAGTCGTTACGTCTTCAGTCAGGGCATTGGTTCCTTACAGTTCGTGGTAGAAGGAAAGGGAGAAGACCGAGTTTTATCTTCATGTTTCATAAAGGTATGGATGTTAGTCAGCGTACAATGAAGAGGCTTTAACAGGTGGGTAATGGTGCTTTAGTAAGTCCCTTGTCGGTTAGGAAGTCTTTATGCTTGTGGAGGATTTGCTGGCACAAATGGTATGGTATGGTGCAAGTTACTGAGGACTGTGGCTTTGTGAAGAGCAGGGAAATAGGCTGAAGCACTTGAAGGATTTCAGGAGAGAGATATGTTGTCTTTTATGTTTATCTTACTAATTGCATTGTATGTAAGCCAGCACCCTGGAAAGGGGGGTAAGTGTGAAGTTAGTTTGAAACAATTTGTAAGTGGCATGCAAGTGGCATGCTGTTTATAGTAGGGATGCTTAAGCAGCATATGTACTGTATACAAATATAGCAGTGTATACTAAACTGGGATAAATAGTTCTGTGAGAGTAACTAACATTATCAACTACTGCTTCAGTAAAGCTGTGTGGGAAGATTTTTATTTTACGGTATTTTTATTTTACTATAACAAATTGTAATTCATCTGATGTAGCTATGTTTACACAAGAACTGCTTTGACCATATCATATATATCAATACACACCAGCAAAGCTTTCTTGATATATCTGGGACCATAGACTTACTGTAGGTTGAAAAGATAACTGTTCTAAGAAAAAATTGGTGTTTTGTTATTCTTGCACGGAATACATTGATTCCAGATGGTCTGCCTCACTCTTTTCCTGTCGTCTTCCCTCTTGTATGGAATATGTTCCACAGGCATTCATCCAGAGACCTGTACCTTTATTTCTAAGTGACTGAAACTTCAGCTCTTTTTACTTTTGCTCACTGGCAACTTTGACCCTGCTATACCTCACTGAGTTTTGATGCTCTACATAGCCAAAAGGGCTATTTTCTGTAGAAATTGAAATGTTAAGGAATGATCTGCATACCTTTTCAAGCAAGATAAAGATCTTTCCTTTGGTGACTTTATGGATAGATAGTCTGTCCCATAAATTGCAGTTTTCACTGTTACTTCTCAAAAGAGGTAGTAAAACTTTGTATGTGCAAGAACAGGAAGGCAAAGCGTATGCCTCTGCTCTTCCTACCAGCCCTGGAGACACTTGTATGAGAAGTGTGTAAAATGCACATTAATTGTTCTGCAGTTTGTAACATGACTCGGAGCTGTTCTTCTTGAGGAAAATACACACATGAATTATTTTTTTCATCAGAGTGATAAACAAACTAGTCTGGGTATAGGGGCAGTTACAAAAGCTGCATTTTTTTTTGTCACAAAGCCCAAAACTTGAGGACTTCTCAAGGAGTTTTAAATATTTATATACCCCAAGAAATATTTGCTGAGGATTTGACACATGAATCGCAGCCGTTCTGGTCAGCCCAGCAGCACATCTTGCCAAGATGAGGTCTACCTTCTCTGAAGGTTCAGTTTATCCAGTGGCAGGTATTTAGGATAGTGAACTAAACATGCACACCCTGATGCACTGTTCCTGTACCCTGGCAGACTGTGGCTTGGACTGCTGAAACCTTTTTTTCTTGCGAACTTCTCTTAATTTTCCTTTGGGTTTCCTTGATACATCTGGCCTGCTCAACATGTAGTGGATTCAAGCACATAGTTCACACGCTTCTGTTCACTTGTTTACAACCTGCTGCTTCATCATTTCATGTGGTACTGTGTAGTTACTTTGGAGTGAGAAACACTGACTAGTAATTTCCTGGTTATCTTTTCTGGACCATTCATTAGTTTAGTCATGCAACTTAGCCTTAGTGCTTAGTTAATAAAGGGTGGAGTTTTCAAGTTTCAAGATAAAACTCTAATTTACTTCCACAGTAGCTGAGCTGGGCTTCTGAATACCGTTCAGGGACCTTTGAAATCAATGCCTTCAGTGAATTTTAATTCCTGAATTTGGTACTCACGAGCATTAACTCTTCCACAGAGTCATACTACGATAGTCTGAATGCTGTAATGTATTAGTGATCCTATTTGTTAGCCCCCCTGTATACAGTGCATAAAATACCCTTAGTGCTGCCAGAAATAACAGCAGTATTATTAACAAAACAGTTAAATTTTGCCCTATGTGCACCAGAGAATATAATGTTCTGAACTGCCTTTTCTGTTCATAATTGCCTAGTAATGTAAATATAAATTGTCTAAACAACATTGATAAAGACATGTTGAAGCTTATAATAAATAATGCATTTAATGCAAATAATTTATCATCTTGAATGGTGTTGAACATAAGATTGTCAGTTACACTTCTGAAAAGTGTATTTCTACTCTGAAACTTTTACTATGAAACTTTTGGTGTAAAGCTTACTCAAAAAAAGCGTTCTGAGAGGTTCTGATTGATTTAATGAAACCTTAAATACTGTGCACATAATTACTGGACTGTGTCCTTGTGAGGATGCTTAGCTAGACTTTTTAAAGAATAGCCACCTTCACCACGGATACCTCTGATTAACATTTTACCTAATAAGAAGCTATTAATCTGGCTTCCAGATGCGTAAATCTGCAATATCATCATCCTCATGTTAACCCTTATTATTAACAGTTAATATGTTATATTCCCAGCAAAGATGTTATAAATGGGCAATGTCCCATAAACTACATATAATTGATTAGAGTTCATATATGTGGTGAGCAGGAGTGTTGAAACAAAGTGCTGCAAGATACATCAGTTTCAAGTTAACATGGGGTTATGCTGTTCACATTTCTTTGCAACATTCTGCAATGTTTCATTGATGATGATTAGGAGGCTGTGTACCAAAGCATTCAGAGAAGGATGCTGTCTGTCTTCCTCTTGTCAGGTCATATACTTAGCTGAAGCCAGAGGTAACAGATTGATCATGAAATTTTTTAAAGCAGAGAAGTAAGTTTTATTTTCTCAAAGGCATTTGGGGGAAAAAAAACCCCACCAACTAGAAATTGAAGTGTAGACTAAATTTTGCTTTTGCAAATAACTATATTGCTATCAATAAATAATGACTACGAATAGGTTAAGTAATGCCTGAGGAAATTAGTCACTTGGGTATGACTGTCCATCTTTACTTATCATATGACTTGTTCTCTAAGTTCGGTTTAGTTATTTCCTTTAATAATTGTAATAACATTTTATGATTTGTAATAACAGTTCATGATTTGGATTCTTAAGTGTGCTGCATTTGGGCACATTTACATTACTAAAAGACAGTTAAAAAGGTGTCATCATACTGTGAAGGTAACAGTGCTGTGATCTCTTTAATAACCTTGAGATGCCAGCATCTTTTTACGATGTCTCATTTGAAAGATAGAACTTCAGGAGCACTGCACTCTGCAACAGTTGTAGCTGTATCAACTCACTCATATGTCCTTAGATTGTAACTTTAGTCATAAAAACTGGGAATATGTATGAATGCAGTTTTATTTTAATTGAGGGATTTCGTATGCCTTTGTATTGCACAGGATGGAGGCCAGCCTGATGCCTCAGCAAGGTCACGTCTCTTGGATTTGCCCTGGAAGCAGAGTGAGCATAGATATTGTACTACCATGTAAGAGGATGATGCAGAGTGACCTTTCTCGTGTGAACGTAGCTCTGTTCCTTTCCAGCCGCACTGGGATAGAGTTGCCTTCTCTGTCCTTAAAGTTGATTGAGCACGTTGGACTGGCAATTTTACCAAGCCACACAAGCTTACGATTTTGTTCATTGTATTTGATATCAAAATACAAGAAGTCAGTCATCTGCACACGTGTTGGAGCCAAATGTGATGCTGTGGTTTTTATGGCACAGTATCCCAGCCTTGCCAGCTTCTTGGTATTACCCTTACTGTTGAGACTCAACGCCTGACGGATGTGGTCTCTTCAGTTGTTGGAAGCACAGCCAGTTAGCTATCAAAGTAACAAAAGTCAAGGTGTGTGAATCTGTGTATTTTTATTGAAAGCCATCAAAGAAAATGTTAGAGATAAGTGTTTCACATTTTTATGTACTTTACATTCTTCAGAAGGATGCCTGCAAACCAGTTAACATGGAATGTTAAAGAGCCAAGGCAAAATTCGTGTGTATTTCTAAAAACACATTTGGCAAAAACCTCTATGTAACTGTCACGCATTGCTCCCATGTTTGCTGTTTTACCGAAGATTACCATGACATTTGTGTCAAAGTGGAATCTTCCCAAGGCTTTATCAGCTTGCTCCTTTTCTTGATTTATTCAGTGATGTTTTCTTTTCTGGTACCCTCTCAAATTTCTGAATTATGTAGCAGGCATTTTTATGGTGGCATTGTAGTGGTGATGCCCTAAGTACTAGAAAGTAGCGCTGCTGAAAGAATTCAGGAGTAGACAAGTGAAGGAAATTCTGTGCAAGTATTGCAGAGAAAACTGAAATAAAATGACTGGTGAATAAGGA